AGTCTGAAGCTTTCTGCACCTCATTCCTGGTGCAGAATCATGGTGATCCCTTGCACTGGACAAAATGAATAGAAAAATGAGGAATGGCATTTTAAAAACAGAACAAAACAATGGAACAATGTTGTTACTTAAAGGTGTTTCATGGAGAATAGCAAATTTGCTCCCTACCAGTCTTTTAGCTTCTCAGGAAATGAATCAATTTTTCTAGCGCTCATAAAACAGGTATATGGCAAAAAAGAAGGTGCTATCTTGACTACTGCAGGAAATGTTGAGGCAATTACTGTAATGACTCATCGTAAAGATTACCCTTTTATGAAGTGTCTGGCTGCATATTGTCTGGCAAGACTCTTTTGTTGTTAAAAATAGCATCAGATCTGCCTTGTCCATCTTAAATGTTCTGATCTTTCATACTATAAAGTAGCTTCTATCTTATTTGACAACTCAAAAACTACACTGCAGCATAAAATCCAGTAGATCAGAAGTCTTGTGCTCAAAGCTCCCTTAGGCGAGTGTTGAAAACCACAGATAGGATCCCTAAGGTTTCTGGAATGAAGCATGGTAGAAATTGCTTCATGTTGCTTAATTCAGAAACATTAACATAGCACAAGCAATGGACTCTAATAATTACAGCAAACCCATACCTGTACTTTATACAGTATACAAATTGCTATCCTGTAAAATGCATAATTACACTGTTGCAAAGCAATTCATCAAAGAAACTTAACTATCTTGTTATACACTTGAGAGCATTTCAAAATTCATTCCACAATAGCCGCTTACCTGGAGCTCCGGGGAAGCAGTGATTTTCTGCCTGATGCAGCTAAGGCTTGGATGTTGCGCCCATCCGTTGGGGGATAGCAAAGCCCTCCCCTTCTGGCTGAGCGGTTTTGGTGCAAAAGGCCCTTTCAAATGGGCCAATCAGTGGGAGGGCTGGGCTTGTGACAGTAGCCTGGCTTCAACCAGGTGCATATACTTATTACAAATTCAAGCTGTGACCCAGCTCTTCTGCTCAATTCACCGTTAGATTCTTTACCCACACCTTGTTTGTGTGGTTAGTGTTAGGACCTTGCTATGGAATACTCTGTCACTGTTTTTGGGGCCAGGGAGAATCCCCCTCCCCAGCAAATAATATGGCCTGTCTGAAGAGGGGTTTTTTTGCCTACCTCATTGCAAATGTCACAACTTTGGTGGATAAGACATTGGGTTGGATCATTAGCTTATCAGGTACCCTTTTAAGGGGTCTAGGAATCATGTTGTTAACAAACACCAAGGAGGCTAAGGAAATGCTGAATGTAGTACAGGTGTAGCAGAAGAAATAAAAGAATTAAATCAAGAAAAGGGATGTTTCAATATAAAGAATAAAACCCTTAGCAATTAGATATATTAGATTGTGAACAAGTCTTCCCAACAGAGGGCTAACCTCCTTGCTGAGTTATCTGAAACTATTTCAACGTCTAGATCAATGTCTAGAAAACACACAGTTGAAAATGAAGCTATATTACATGGACATTTATAATAACCTGCAAGTCAATTTTTCTTTTCCATTTTCTAATGTGCTTTGAAAATATGCCTACTAGTCCTGAAGACATTTTTCACAGTGTATTATTGAATGATTAACAATTGTTATGAAAACAAAATGAGATATGACGATAATAAATAGAATTTCTGGGGCTACTGTGCTACATGAAAGGCATTTGCAATACAAGAACATTTTATTTGCACATGAAGTTTCCTTTCAGTATATAAACCAGTTAAGCACCTATGCTCAAACCTTTTGACCAATTAGGACTTGAATGTGTAAAAGTCTTTGAGGATCTAGACAGACTCATTAATGAACTGAATATGCAATAAATAATATTTACATACCAAGTTGTGAATAAATTAATGACTTTCTAATGAAAATTTGTGGAGGTGTTGGAGGTCTTTAAATAAAGTGGTTTTCAGTTTTGAACACACACACACAAATATATATGCACACATACAGACACACCACATGAACAACTATATTTGGCTTTAATTAAAATCTTATCAGATTAGGAGCCTATCATCATCCAAAGCCTTTGTCCATATCCAATGTCCACACAACTTCATGTGTCTAAAGAGCTAGAGAAAGTGATGGGTGGGTTTTTTTTTTTAAATAATTCAAGTAACACACAAAGAAAGCATTTCATTATTAGTTGAAACACACACACACACACACACACACACACACACACATCCTGATAGTATTTCTGAAATAAAATACTACATACATTCAGTCAAATAAATCAGTTGATGCTGGTAAAACTCAAATATTTGTAATTTAAATAGCCACCTGTAGCTTTACATAGCATAAGTTTATATGCCACACATCTGACTGGGTTTCCCCAGCCACTCTGGGTGGCTTCCAACAAATTAAAACAAATTTTAAGGACCAAGACTGTAATGAAGACTTTTCTATCTTTATCAGGAGACAGACCATATGCAGTGATCATTCATTGAATGCATGTATGTACACAGGAGGCTGAACTAACCAGCTGCCCCTGTATAGTTATCCTAGTATGTAAGACAAGTGACATTTGAGTTGTTTGGAGACCTTGTTTTTTACACACAATTACTTAGGAGGAAATCTCACAGGATTTTTGAGTAAACATGCAAGGAACCAGTCTGTAAACTCTTCTGTGATTCAGCTCTAATGCTGAAATTATAATATTTTAGATATGAAATGGAAAGTTCAGTTCACCTAAGCTTTACATTTTGATATCAATTTATCTATTTTACAGTACTGCTTATTTCTCCAGAGACTAGTATCATGCAATTACTTAGTATCAATTATCAGAGGTTGCCTTTTGATGTCTAACTGACCACAAAAAATATATCCAAGTTTATTAATAGTTTAAAAACAAACAAAAACTTCTTATATTCAAAATACCGGAGAATGTACACACATTACAAAACTTTAGTGATCAAAATCAGCTTAAGGAAGTGTGAGGGGAAAGGTATTTACTTGTCTGTTTTTGTTTATTGTTGCTACCATGTATTCTAAAAATCAAACTGTATGAATTAAGTCAAGCCAACAGTAGGTTGTAAACCCAAGGTGCCTAAGGTGCCCATGTTCCCCTAACTCCCATTAGTATCTTCTGCACCTTCCTGCATTTTTATGCTATTGCAATCCCTCCAGCTGTGCTATTCTGCATCTTGGAGTGCTGTTTGTGGTCAGCTGAGAGGGAAGTGAGATGTGGCAATACCAGGCATGTGCCCATACAGTATGTCTGCATCAAGGCATGGTCAAGGGGATTTGGAGTCTCTGGCAGAGGCTGTTTTCGCCACTTAGGACCCAGACAGCCCACCCTCAGTTTCTCCAGTGCAGGACTGCCAGAAGCATGTGGAAGGCATGGGGTGGGAGTGGGGAATCCTGGCACTTGTACTATGCTTTCTTCTGTTCCTTTATGCCGGATGGGATGGGAATATTAGACATTTTTACATCTGCTGATCTAAATTACAGACTTATGGCGAATCCATGAGACCTTGTGTTTTATGCAATGACAACCTGGCCTTTTGAAATGCCCACCTTTTTTTTTGCTATCACAGATCGCTCTGTTTCTTGACTCACATATCGTTCCTGACAACATGAAAAGAAATCTGAGTATGCGTTTCATATGGCAATTTGCCTTGTTGCCAACCTGCCATTCATTAGCCCTTGTGTTCCTGTTGCTGCGCCCCCACAGATTCTGACAGCAGGAACAAGCCCTACTTGCTAGATACTGAGAATGCTGCAACCCTCCCTCTTTCCTCCACCTCCTTCTCCAATAGCCCAATTTGTCACTATAGCAATAATATAATGAAGCCAGCTTTCAGGCAAGGCCATACCCTGCAGTTCCCAGTGTTGTAAAATTCCATTTGAACTCCACAGGAGTTTTGTCTTACTAAGCACACCAGGATTAGTCCCTGATTTATAAAGCACTGGATGCCACATCTTCTAGGCACTGTTTCTTAAAAATTAATAGCAGATTATATAAAACTTTCCACAATGAATAATGTTAAAGAGACGTACTGCTAACACCAGTGATATATTAGTAACCCTGGGGTGGGAGGCAGCAGGAACATTTGAATTTTTTTCCCTTCCTTTTGTGATTAACCTCAGTAGGGAATTTTCTTTCCGTGCCCCCCCCCCATTACTATTTCATAGACACTTCCTAAGTTAACAAGACGGCTGCTACACTGAGATCTCCGTAGGTTTGTTCTTAAAAGCACAGTAAAACCTAATTTAATCACAGCTTCAAAATATCATACAATAAAACTAATTTAATTACACTTACCAATGGCCAGTAGCCTCATTAAAATGTTAATGAGGCATCTAATTATTAAATTGCTTAATGATTGCTAATAGGACTAAATGACAAAATAAAACTTAACTACAAATTAAAAATGCCCTGAGCAGTAGTCGGATCTTACTGCTTTCCCCCAGCCCTTGCTATTAAGGAAACAAGGTAAAATAAAGCCACAGAGACCACGAAAGCTGGAAAGAAAACAGAGAACCAAACATCTATTGCTGTAATCCTAGGCACAAATAAAATTAATAAAACCCGTCAGTTCTATGGGTATATGTGTATGTATCTAGGATTTCCATCACTTGCATGCCGCCCCATAACACAACATTCTATGGGTGTTGTAGAATTTATTAAGAAACTAAATATAAAATAAAGCATAAAAACACAACACCAAAACTGAAAAATACCACAAAAGCAGATTAAAAGTGCATTGTACCTAGATGTAGGGTCACCTCCTGACAGAAACTTTCCCACATGCAACAGGGGAGAGGCACATGTCAAAACCTGCTTCCATTCTTAGATCCCACATATTGCCCTGAAATATTGGATGAGTAAAAGTGGTGCAGAGCAATGGCTAATCTTTGTGGTTTTATATCCTTCAAACACAGTTAAACCCAGCTAGATAGGCAGGGTATAAATAATAAAATAATGATGATGATGATGAATTCTGCTTACAGGAATCATTGGCATGAAGCAATGGGCAACATCCATGGCTCAGTGGCAGAACATCTGCTTTGTGTGCAGAAGGTTCCAGGTTGAATCCCTGCCATCTTCAGGCTAGGCTGGGAAAACCACTCCTATCTGAAACCCTGGAAAGCTCCTGTTAGTCAGTGTAAGCCAGGTATGTCCAACAGGTCAATCGTGATCTACTGGTCGATCGCTGGGTGTCTGTGGTCAAGCATAGCCGAATGCAAGATTCTGCCCCCCCCCCAATCCAATGAGTAGATCACTGCCAGTTTTTTTAATAGTAGGAGTACCGGTAGATTGCAGTCTCTTGGGAGTTGGCCACTCCTGGTGTAGACCAGGGGTCAGCAAAATTTTTCAGCAGGGGGCTGGTCCACTGTCCCTCAGACCTTGGGGGGGGGGGCTGAACTATATTTTGGGGGGAAATGAATGAATTCCTATGCCCCACAAATAACCCAGAGATGCATTTTAAATAAAAGGACACATTCTACTCATGTAAAAACATGCTGATTCCTGGACCATCCACGGGCCAGATTTAGAAGGCGATTGGGCCAGATCCAGCCCCCAGGCCTTAGTTTGCCTACCCATGGTGTAGACAATACAAAGGTAAATAGACCAATGCTCTGACTCAATATAAGGAAGCTTTCTGTGTTCTTATGTAACACAATACAAGTGACCCTTTACATTAACTAGCAAAAGTAACTCAGAGATGAGCAACATAGTACAAAGGTGAAGACAGGGATTATAATGCATGATGAAAATGGTTTGCACAGACATTTCCTGCCTTCAGAACAAATGCTTTGGAATGCAGCAACTGTGTGCTCAAATTCTCAGTATACTTTTATCACACTTAGGAGTTGCTCTATGATACCAGTTATGAAGACTGGCCAGTATAAGCAGCTTTAAGTTGGAATGGTAAAAGTGAAGCATAGATCAATGAGAATAGAATGTCAGCATGCATCTTCTCACTGGAAGGGAAGGGAAGTTAAAGCAAAGAGTACAAAGGATGTCTTGTCAATTAAAACCTGCTTTGGTATGAAGATAACTGCTCGCAGACACCAAGAGATTATGGATAGGGGTGCTGGATCAAAGTTTACAGAATATGGAATGCTGCAGAGATCTGATAATATTACTTCTTTTGTTTTTCTGTTACTAAAATGCCTTATTGCACCATATTTTCTTTGAAGCATATGAAACACTGAGTGAGATGCCATTACATTTAAAAAAGAGAAAATTATTTTTTTCACTTTTGTACTGCATAACAGAAGGAACAAGTTCAAAATTCTGATATTCTATCTACGATAAGACATCATGAAATATTAAGCACCACCAAGTTAAGTTTTTGCTACTATGAATAATATGGTTCTTCAATCATGAGAAATCCATGTACAACAAGAAATGAGTTGATAGGCACTAAATGAAATCTGGTCTTTGAACAATACTAAAAGAGGCAATCGGGGGGGGGGGGTGATATTTCAACTTGTATTTGATTCTTTGACAGAAACATTTTGAGAATGGCTCCAGATACCAACAAAGAACCAGAACTTTGTGGCCCAGCTAAAGGTCCAGTATTTGGATAGTACAGAAGTTACATGAAAACATTCAGTATTAACTTTTAGGCTGGAACTAAACACATCAAAGAAGTGTTTCAGGAAAACGTGTTCTAAATTTTGTACGAGAAATCACTCTGGCAACAATGGAACTCCACAGCGCCCTCTGGTGTCACCATGTTATAATGCATATACAACACATATAAAACACTTTTTCTTTACCAGTCTAGCCATATCCCTAGTATCAATAAAAATGAATGGCTTCCACTACAGATTTCAGCTTGCATATAGCAGCTGCTTCAAATGTGAATAATTTTCTTAATTGGTATAACTTCCATATGCAAACAAATCATATCCATCTATTTTGCTGTGTGTTCACAGAGTCTATATACAATAGGAAGGTGTATCCACGTATAGCATTACAGGAGTACCTACATGTAGCAAAATAACCATATCAAAATTACCATGAGCAACAATCACATTTGTATTTTTTTTTTACTTGGAAGTACATTCACCACTTTCAAACAGGCCTCCATTCTATCCTTCTTATAAAAATATGTCGCTTTTTAATCTATAGGTGTGGAGGGGGGAATGTCCCTGCGTTATCGCCACTTGTTTCCCTAGGTATTATAAGTCAGATGTTACTGAAGAATGTCCTGTTTGTATGCCATTTAGAGCACATTTTATGGGGGAAAGCATAGTAACCACAGTGGGAATGTGAGCAATTATTATTTCAATAGTTTTCTCTGCAGGTGGAAGTTGTATAAGAACTACTAAAATTCCAGCAGTCTTTCAAGGACTGTGAGAGAGTGTGGTGATGAAGTGCAAATCAGAAGAGCTTGAAATATGACCCTCCCAACTGCAAATGCCTCACCCAAACATAAGGCAAGCCCCAAATTTGGACCTGGTATTGTATTGTCTCGTATTGGGAATTGCCAACACTTCTTTGAGCCAGCCTTCCGTTTTTCCCTACTCCAAGCTTGCTAGGAGGGAGGAAGAGTTCAGATGACAACAGCAATAACTGTTTTTCTTCTAGTTACTTTTAACAACTAGAATGTCCAAGACCTGTGTCACAGATTAAAGGATTCCTATGAAACATAGTTCTCTAGAACTTGCAGAATTCTAGACACTGGAAAGAGGGATAAAGAAAATAGGTGATAGAAGAAGGAGGAAGAGAGGAAGAGTCCTTGCTGCTTTTTCCTCTCTGATATGCATACCTAGTAAGAGAAGTGGCAGAAGGGTCTATAGGAATTCATGAAGAAGTCAGAATGACTGCCTCATCCCTTGAAAATCCTTGGAAATGCCTAAAATTCCTGCCCACTCCCCACACAAGGAAATAATCCACTTGTAAAAAGCAAATAGAAATTAACACAAGCCAGGGTGAATTCACCTATCACTAAAGTAAAGTAGATAAGATCAGAATGGATTATGTCTTATTTGGGTCATTCTAAAAATAATTCAGGTTGTTCAAAGGTGTTAAAACCTGTGTTACAGGGTTGCCTTTCCTTTCTTCCTTATAACAGGGTGATAAAAACTTCAAAGTGCTAAAAGGTGTATGTGAAGTAAGTGCCTAATTACAAAGAAGAAACTCTTCTAATAAGGCTCCCCAACTGTTAGAAACTTAACAGCTATGAACTCTGACATATGTTAGTAAAATTCAGAACCTCTTAGCAACAGGTTTCTTGTTTAACAGCAGCATGATACAACAATATCCTCTAAGGGAGTGGTTTTCCATCACCAAATGATTTATCATGATTGTGAATTGATTTACAGCTTTTTACTTGGTGCAAGTCGCAATTTAACTGCTTCTGCTGATTTCTGTTTGGTTCTGAATCCTTACCATTCACAGTAATTTTCACTACTAAAGCCACACTGTCTAACTGGGATCTGGGACTCCATTAGTATTTGCAACACCTCTGCTCAAGATAGTAATGTGATTATGAAAATACAAACATCTGCTTCTGTCAGAATACAGGAACTAATAACTGTATTTCCCCCCATGAGTAAAGGTGTGTAGTCAAAGTATAATGGAGATAATCCTGAACACATACATACATTCAGTTATTCATAAGAGCATGTAGCATTAACACAGCAGAGGGTTGGCTGACTTCATGGGGATATTCTTTGCTCTCCCTTGCTCTTCTAAAGTTCTGTTTAGCAAGGATAAAGTACTGGGAAGGGCAAAACACACTGACTTCCTCTTTAAGCCACCAAGGGGAGAACTTTGCTCCTTTGGGTCTTGAATTTAGTTAAGTAAAGGTAAAGGTTGTTGTTGTTGCTGCTGTTTAGTCGTTTAGTCGTGTCCGACTCTTCGTGACTCCATGGACCAGAGCACGCCAGGCACTCCTGTCTTCCACTGCTACCCGCAGTTTTGTTCAAACGCATGCTGGTAGCTTCGAGAACACTATCCAACCATATCGTCCTCTGTCGTCCGCTTCTCCTTGTGCCCTCCATCTTTCCCACATCAGGGTCTTTTCCAGAGAGTCTTCTCTTCTCATGAGGTGGCCAAAGTATTGGAGCCTCAGCTTCAGGATCTGTCCTTCCAGTGAGCACTCAGGGCTGATTTCCTTAAGAATGGATAGGTTTGATCTTCTTGCAGTCCATGGGACTCTCAAGAGTCTCCTCCAGCACCATAATTCAAAAGCATCAATTCTTTGATGATCAGCCTTCTTTATGGTCCAGCTCTCACTTCCATACATCACTACTGGGAAAACCATAGCTTTAACTATACAGACCTTTGTTGGCAAGGTGACATCTCTGCTTTTTAAGATGCTGTCTAGGTTTGTCATTGCTTTTCTCCCAAGAAGGTAAAGGTACGCCTGACCATTAGGTCCAGTTGTGGACAACTCTGGGGTTACAGCGCTCATCTCGCTTTATAGGCCGAGGGAGCTGGCGTTTGTCTGCAGACAGCTTCCAGGTCATGTGGCCAGCATGACTAAGCTGCTTCTGGCGAACCAGAGCAGCGCACGGAAATGCCATTTACCTTCCTGCCGGAGCGGTACCTATTTATCTACTTGCACTTGACGTGCTTTCGAACTGCTAGGTGGGTAGGAGCTGGGACCGAACAACAGGAGCTCACCCCCTCGCGGGGATTCAAACTGCCAACCTTCTGATCGGCAAGCCCTAGGCTCTGTGGTTTAGACCACCGCGCCACCCGCATCCCTTGAATTTAGTTACACCAGAGCTAAACCTTGTTCAGCAGCAAGTCTTCTGCTGCTGCTTTGCCTAAACCCAGCAAAAGGAAAACAAGCCTTTAAAATAGTGTTGTATGCTAGATTGCCAGGTCTTGTGATTTGCCAGGTCTTAAGTTTAAGATCCAACCTAAGTCCCCCCTCTCTGATCCCACCCCCACATTGCCCCCAGAAAACCCCTTTTGGAGGACTTCCAGCAGCCTCAGTTCAACCAGCTTTGGCTCAGTTGCTTGAGCTGGGATGAACAAATTACATCAGCGTGTTTTGGGCTGAGCTGGGTTTAGGGATTTAACATCACTTGAGCTGGGAATCAGGTCAATGAGCGGGAGATCCTCTGAATCCTAGGCACC